CTTCTCAGCCTAAGTCCAAGGGTATAAATCACTTCATGTGCTTTTTTCCTCTGTTTTTTATGCGTGGTAAAGTACATACAACATAAAATTGATCATCGCAGCCACTTTTAAGTGTATAGTTCAAGGGTGTAAAGTACATTATACATCTCCGTCTCCACCATCCGTCTCCAGAACTCTTGTCATCTTGTAAAACGGAACAGTAACTTCCCGTTCCCCCCGCCCCTCCCCCAGCCCCTGAGAACCACCAATCTACTTTCTCTATGGTTTTGACTACTCTAAACATGGGTAAGTGGAATCGTACAGTACTTGTCTCTTTATGTGGGGCTTATTTCATTTAGCCTAACATCTTCAAGATTCAGTCCTGTTGTAGCAGGCGTCTGAATGTCCTTTTTAAAAGCTGAATAACATTCCACTGTATGAGCTTAAGAGTCCCTTATGGTTTGCCTCCCTCTCTCTTTAAACTATTTTTTCCCCTTCTCTTCCCCCATGGTCTTCTGTTAAGTTTCTCAAGTTCCACATATAAATGAAAACATATGATATCTGTCTCTGCCTGACTTATTTCACTCAGCATAATGCCCTCCAGTTCCATCCACATTGTTGCAAATGGCAGGATTTCATTCTTTCTCATTGCCGAGTAGTATTCTCTTATATATATAAACCGCATCTTCTTGATCCACTCATCTGTTGATAGACATTTGGGCTCTTTCCATGACTGGGTTATTGTTGAGAGCGCTGCTATGAACACTGGGGTGCATGTGCCCCTAGGCATCAGCACTCCTGTGTCCTTTGGATAAATTCCTAGCAGTGCTATTGATGGGTCATAGGATAGTTCTATTTTCAATTTTTTGAAGAACTTCCACCCTGTTTTCCAGAGCGGCTGCACCAGCCTGCATTCCCCCCAACAGTGCAAGAGGGTGCCCGTTTCTCTACATCCTCATCAGCATCTGTAGTTTCCTGAGTTGTTAATTTTAGCCACTCTGACCAGTGTGAGATGGTATCTCAGTGTGCTTTTGATTTGTGTTTCCCTGATAATGAGTGATGTTGAGCATCTTTTCAACAAACTCAGGGGAGGGGGGTGGGGGAGAGGGGAAAATGGGTGATGAGCATTGACGAGGGCACTTGTTGGGATGAGCACTGGATTTTATCTGTAAGTGATAAATCACGGGAATCTGCCCCCAAAACCAAGAGCACACTGTATACACTGTATGATAGCTAACTTGATAATAAATTATGTTTAAAAATAATAACAATAATAATAAAATCTAGAAAATGAAAAAAAAAAGAACTACAACAAGAGGGGCACCTGGGGCAAAAAAAAAAAAAAGATTCTATTGTACATGGATAACACCTTTTGTTTACTCATTCATCCATTGATGGACACTTGGGTTACTTCCATGTTTAAACTATTCTAAATAATGAGGAATAAAGAGTACTATTTGCCACGTTAAGCATGCTATCAACATCAGAAGTCTCCAAATGGACCTTCTCATTAGATTATTAGTATTTTGAATAACTAACCTAGACCCTAGAATTTATGTAATTCTCATCTTTAGAGCATCATTGGCAGATGTTCTTGACATCCCAGAACCAAAGATTATTGTTTTGTTTTGTTTTTTTAGATTAATTGAAGACAAGACTGATTGTTCACTCAAGAGGCCACTGATTTGGCCACCAAATCCAATTTTGGGAGGACCTAGGTGTTAAGCATCTGACTCTTGATTTTGGCTCAGGTCATGATCACACAGTTTGTGGGTTCGAGCTCTGTGTCAGACTCAGTGCAGACAGCACGAAGACTGCTTGGGATTTTCCCTCTCTCTCAAAACAAACAAATAAATGTTTCAAAAAGTATTTTTAAAAAATAATTTTGGGGCACCTGGATGCCTTACTTGGTTGAGTGACTGACTCTAGATTTTGGCTCAGGTCATGATCTCACAGTTTGCAGGATCAAGCCCCACACGGGGCTCTGTGCTGACAGTGCAGCGCCTTCCTGGGATTCCCTCTCTCTCCCTCTCTCTCTGTTCCTCCCCTACTCATGCTATTGCTCTTTCTCTCTCAAAATGAATAAATAAACTTTAAAAAAACAATTTTGGTATTATTTATCTAGGGGAACTGGTCTCATTTGACCAAATCTACTAATAGAATTTGAACCAATGTCTTGAACAATGTCTTCTTCCCCATTGGAGATGTGAGCCACTCAGATACAAACTAGATTCTTTCTCCATGTCCCTGGTGTAGCTTACCACGGGTCTCAGTACGCAGTGCCTTTAGCTACTTTAACCAGGAGGTAGGTACATAAAGATTAAAAAAAAATCTTCCCCCACCCCCAAATATTCACATTTTATCATTCCTTCGTCTTACACTCGTTATAACCTTGAGTCAAATAAGCAAAACACTGGTGTACAACTGAAGCAGTCAGCACACACTCTATCAAACAAGATGGTCCTCCTTGGATATTAGCCAAAGGAAGATCTCTGCCTGACATTTATTACCAGAGTCTCCCTTCGCTCCAAGTCCACATCCCCAGCTCTGGGCACAAACTAATCCCCCACACTCTAAGACAGCAGGTCATTCATTTCTAGGGGGAATCTCTCAAATCCCAGCCTTGCCTGTGAGTTTCCTAAGATAACTGCCCACTTCCATGGGAAAACGTACTACCTGATTATTAGGGGACACGCTACTTGGACCCTGTATGGTCAGATCCAAAAGAATGGTCACAATGGTTGCTTTGAAGAGTTGGGAACCAGAGTGGATGGAGATTGGATTCTTCTGGAGGGTTCTTAAGACAAAGAAGTGCATAGGTTGGCAAGTATGACCAGTAGCAAATATGGAGGAATTTAGAAGGAAGAGCAGTGTGTGGGGAAGGTTTCTAGGCCTTTGTCGCTGGAGCAAAGAATCAGTCCGAATGGAGTTTTTAGGTGAATGAGCCCAATTGGGCTGGCGGGAGGGAACGAGGCAGTGCTCGGACTAAGGCTCCTTCATTAATTTTTAATTGTCTTTTTCCCTTTTTGCTCCTTCTGTTTCCGTTTTACTATCAAAGATATTCACATTTGGACATTGCTTCCCAAGTCCTTTGTCTTAAGAGTTACACTTATTGGAAGATGTATTGAGTGAATGTGTACCAGCACCTATCACGTGGTAGGTAGAGCAACATGGAGCCCAGAGGCAGATGAGCGTGGGGCCCTCTCCTCCAAGAGCTTGCAATCCTCCCCCAAATGCCTGGAATGATATGCAATAACTGGCAAATTTATATGCAAATGTTTTTGTCTGTTTTCTTTTGATTTGCATTCCCTATTTCTGCTTCTCTGCCCTTTGGTGTTTGGATTTTTTTCCTGCCCTTTGTTTTAAGCATTGCTTTTACCCCTCCGAAGACACAGGCTCTGAAAGAAAGTTTCCCTGGCTCTCAGTTTGAGGTCTTAACTATCTTTTTTTTTTAATATATATTTTTTTTTTTGGAGAGAGAGATAGAGACAGCGTGAGCAGGGGAGGGTCAGAGAGAGAGGGAGACACAGAATCTGAAGCAGGCTCCAGGCTCTGAGCTGGCTGTCAGCACAGAGCCCGACGCGGGGCTCGAACCCACGAACCATGAGATCACGACTTGAGGTGAAGTCAGACGCTTAACCGACAGAGCCACCCAGGCGCCCCTGAGGTCTTAACTATCTTAAGAAAGCTGTATTTCCCTTTTCCTTCTCAGACTGAGAGTAAAACTCGGAGCTGCTGTTTCTCTTTGTAAATGTTTACTTAGAATCAACTAGGATGAAACTTGCCTACTCATTTGAGAGGAAACATGCTCTGTTTCAACCTCCTAATTTCCTTTTACCCATAGGGAAGGTTCCAGGCTTTGCCACAGGATTGACCTCCAGGGTCACACATGCACCTTGCCCTCGCCCCCACAGTCCCTCCCCACTGCAGACTCCATCTTCCTTCTCTTTTTTTTTTTTAATGTTTTATTTTATTTATTTCTAGGAGAGAGAGAGAGACAGCGTGAGCAGGGGAGGGTCAGAGAGAGAGGGAGTCACAGACTGAAACAGGCTCCAGGCTCTGAGCTGGCAGTCAGCACAGAGCCCGACGCGGGGCTCGAACCCACGAACCGCGAGATCATGACCTAAGCGAAAGTCGGACGCTTAACCGACTAAGCCACCCAGGCGCCCCTCCATCTTCCTTCTCTTAACGTCCTCTCTTCAGCACCTCCCAGCTACCTAGTGCCGTCACGAGTTTGTTCTATGCCTTCTGTTTTGTTTTGTTACATTACTCTTTCCCCTTATGAGTCGTTTCTGGCAACAGCACCCCTGAATTCTTGGCTCAGGACACCAGCCTGGAGCAACTCAATACACTTTTTATCTTGTATCTTCCCCTAATTTCTCACATGATTATTCTCTCCCTTAAGCAACTCCTGCGTAGCACCCATGACTTCTATGTCCTATAAATCTACAGGAAAATATTGAAAGTCTAGAATGTTCTCTGTTCCCTCATTCCTGGTTCTCCAGGGAGGACCCAACCCACCTCTTGCCTCTCACATGCTTGGAAGCAGATGTCGGGTCCCCAGCAAAACAGGGTCAGCCTCCTCAGTGGGGGAAAGGTCAAATTTGCTCAGACATGTTAAGAAGAGATTTCACAAGCATTTGGCTGAACTTGTGCACTAGTATCTAAATCTTGAGTAATATAGAGTAAAAAATTAAAAGGCAGCCAAACAGCCCTTTGGCTCATCTTTGGGTCCCTTGAGGTGTTATGAAAGCTTCGTTTTGTCATGTTTATTTCAAAAAAAAAAAAGCTAAAAATGAGACTGAGCCTAGATTTTGCCCAACAGAAGGCTTTCCTATTTCCTCGGCTGAGGAATGAGGATTCCAAGACTCTCTGGAAGGACCCCTTGAACTCTGGAAATCCTGGGATTCCACCTGCTGCTTGGCGCTTCTGGGCGGGGACCTCCGGCTGCTGGTGATGCCCTGTGTGATGTCACAGGGCTTTGTGACACAGCCTGATGCTACATTATGTGCAGAGGCTGGCAGGGCAACCCGGTACAATCAAGTATTTGCTCAGAATCCAGACACCATCAAGTCAGCCATTCAGAAAAAAAATCTCATCTTTCAGATCGTTCAGCCCAAGCTCCTGCTTAATTTCACCCATGACTCAGTTTAGACAACATATCAACTACAGAGTGACCAATGTCTAAACGGTAGGTGCGTGAGCTCAGTGTGCTGAACAAAGTTGGGGGGCAGGGTGCCTTCCTCCTGCAGTCAGCGTAAGCGGCACATCAAATCGCTGAATTTTGAATGGGATGCTGGCTCTGGAGATTAGGATTAAGAAGATCTGATTTTTAAAAAGAGGCTATGGCTATGCCCCTGTAGAGGTAGACTGAGCAGTATAATGACTTCAGTTCTTGAAAATCTGATTACTTATAGAAAATTTAATTGTGACATCACCTAGAGCCTAGCCATGTTTTCTTGACCCTAAAAACTCACACTTTGAAACAAACTCAATGATGGTGAATCCAGATTTAGTTTAGGGCTTTAGGTTTTCAGCGTGTACATGTGTGTGTGCCTGTGTGTGCGCATATGCACGTTTGGTGGGAGTGGGGGTGGGGGAGAGATGAGGTGCATATTCCAGAGAACCAGGGGCAGTGCTGCCTTAAGAGCACATAGTGTAAGAAAGCTTACATTAGTAAAATTAAAAAAAGCGGAGGAGGCTAATTTTCCTAAGCGTTCACATGTAGAGAATTTCCTCCAAATTTTCTTAATATACTGAGAATCCTTCCAGAGAATATGGATTTATTTTCTTTTCCAGTAATAATCCTATTGTGACCCCACATGTGTATTTTCTATATGCGATCTTCCTCCTCTCGCTTATAGTCTGCATTAGTTTCTTTTTTTTTAAATTTTTTTTTAACGTTTTATTTATTTCTAGGAGAGAGAGAGAGACAGCATGAGCAGGGGAGGGTCAGAGAGAGAGGGAGTCACAGACTGAAACAGGCTCCAGGCTCTGAGCTGGCAGTCAGCACAGAGCCCGACGTGGGGCTCGAACCCATGAACCGCGAGATCATGACCTAAACGAAAGTCGGACGCTTAACCGACTAAGCCACCCAGGCACCCCAGTCTTCATTAGTTTCTAATTGCTTTTGATGTTCGGTGAAAGTTAAAACAGCGTGAAAATGTGACTTTCAATCACACGAAGTGGAGTTAATGGAAGTTAAACACCTTCATTCTCTTCCCACTTATTTGAATCTGCCCATTTCTCCCAGTTACAGGCTATCTTCTTCTCTTACACATTTGACACTTTTTCTTTGCATGATCAAATATTGCATTTTTGAAGTATAATTTGTCCAGTCAATGGGACTTCATTGTGCAATCAGAATTTTTGTCAGGGTGTTAAATCATATGTCTTGGGAGAATGCTCCTATTTGAATAAATGGCCCAATTTATTATTATTATTATTATCATTATCATGTTTTATTTTGAGAGAGAGAGAACATGTGCACACGAGTTGGGGAGGGGCAGAGAGAGAGCCGGAGGAGGGGGAGAGAGGGAATCCCAAGCAGGCTCCACACTCAGCTGGAGCCTAATGTGGGGCGGATCTCATGGACCACAAGATCACGGCCTGAGCAGATATCAGGAGTGAAAGGCTTCACCGACTGAGCCACCCAGGCGCCCCTACCCCAATCCAATCTTATCCCCCCTCCCTAGATCTAGGATCCTCAGGACTCAGCCCATGCTCAGGGCCCTGATCCAGCTGGATCATGATGCCTGGGTTCTGCAGTTCCTTGGGGACACTCTCCTCCCTGAGCAGGACTAGCACATTCTCAGCCAGGCTATTCTGTCACTTGACCCTAATTATTGATCTGGTGGCCAGGAGAGGACGGGGGAGGGGGAATCCAGAGGGAGGGCATGTGTGGCTTGAGAAGCACCCTGAAGGAGAGGAGCATGGGTCATTTCTGTAGGTCCAGAAGGTGGATCCACATGGCTCTCCACCCACACACCGCATCCCAAGTCTTAGCATCTCCCTCCTTCCCTGGACAGAAGACTAGCCATGGTTGAGAAGTCACCTTCCTTGGAATATAGCTGCCCTATATCACCAAGGCCTGCACACGATTCTCAGCGTTCCCTGCCCTTTGTGTGTGGCTAAGGAGGTCACATTAATACTTTGCCTTAAGTGTTGACTACACCCTCAGCCTTTCTTTGCCTTTCTCGAACGCATCTATAGCACCCAACAGCAGACATTTTGATTCCTCGGCTTTTATAATTACTTCTCCCTGCCCCCATCTCTCAAATGTACCAACCAGAACGTTCCTTCCCAGTGTTCCATCCCTTCCTACTGGTGAAGCTGTAACAAGCACAGCACTCCAACCTGCTGCAGGTTATCAGAACACTGCCTTTCCACCAGCGGGGGTGGGGAGGGTGTGGGGGTGGGGCTCAAGGCCTGCCGGCTGGCGGTGATGCACCCCCCAAATCCCATTTTGGTGTCTGTTTCCCAGGACCACCCCACTACCAACTGTTGCAGGTCAAGTTCCTCAGGAAACAGACTTCGAAACTGAGATTTGCGTGCAGGCCCTTTATTGGCATGGGTTTGGGGAACAACACTTGCAAGCAAAGGAAACCGGGTCTAGCAATGTTACTCTTAAAAAAACACAAAACAAAAAAAAAACAAAAACGCTCCAGGGAGGCTGGGTGGTTCAGTTGGTTAAGCCTCCGACTCCGCTCAGGTGGTGATCTCACAGCTGGTGGGTTCGAGCCCCGCATCGGGCTCTGTGCAGACATCTGGAGCCTGGAGCCTGCTTGGGATTCTGTGTCTCCATCTCTCTGCCCCTCCCCCGCTCGTACTGTCTCTTGAAATAAATACACATTAAAAAAGAAAAATAATAAAACTGTTGGTTATTGTGCCAGCAAAAAATGGATTTATTTGGTAATAGCAGAGAACTGCAGTCCCGCACAAGCGAGCTAAAGCAAAACCATGGGCCGGTCTGGAGAATTAAAGAGGCTCTTTGATAGAGGAAAGGGGGAGCTTCGGGAAGGCTGTTGTCAACTAACATTGGAGACAACTGGGCGTTCAAAGTATAGTGGCTTCTCATTGGCTGAGCTGTGACTGTCCCTCATTGGCTGGGCTGTTGCCGGGGAGGAGGAAACCTCCCCTCTGCCGCCGGGATGTGGAGTACTGTCCCCTGCGAGGCGCTCCAGGTGTGGGTCTACAATTGACCAGGCGCGCTGGGCGCCAGAGCTCCCCCTGCCGGCCTCCTGGCGCCATTCTGAACGAGGTTTCCTTTCCTCAATTTTCACGAGAGAAAGAGGCTGGACGGTGATGTGGTTGCCACGGGGACCCCTGCCAGCCCCATGGAAGGCTCTAGGTGGGCTGGGCGAGTCTTCGGAGTCATCTAAAGTTGAAAGAAGCGAGATGGGCTCGTCGGCCAGTCTTTAAACATGAGTTCCCTCAGGGAGGGGGAACCTTGGACAAAGCAGCTTGCCCCCACCACTGGCACCTCTGGGCAAGGGACTCGGCCCTGAGTCAGTACCCCGGGCAGCGAGGTCCCGAGCAGTGACCTGGTGGCCTCTCGCAGCGCCACTGCATAAGACGTTGTATCCGGGTGTGTTCAGGTGTCTGGGGGGCAAGGTGCTGCCCTGGTGGTTTGATGCCATGGAACTGTGGTGGGTGCTGAGTTCCGTGGGGGAAGCGTTGTCTCTGCGGTGACCTAGAGCAGTAAGAGCCAGGGCGGGTGTGCAGGCTGGTGCCCAGTGCTGGCCCGAGGTCAGAACTGCAGAAGCCCGCCTCTTCCCTCGAGTCCGAGAAAGATAAAGATGAGAACCGATTCTACATGGTCAGATGCCGGGAAGACACTTGAAAGGGTCGGAGTGTGAGGAGGACCAACACCAGAGGGTGCCAGAAAGAGGGCGAGGCTGGAGAGCTTGGGGTTCATGTCCTTGATTCCCTCTGGCAGCTGCCGGATGTCACGTGCTTTAAAGGGTTGGGTGGGAGAGAAATGGCTGCTCTATACGCATGTGTGGACAGTGATGCCATTTGATAGATGCAGTTTGGAATCCTTATTTTTAAAATGTTTATCAAAGTAATGCGCACGTAAAAAAAATTAAATTAAAAAAATAAATCTTATAAAGAGAGTCAGCAGGCCCCTACCTAATTTCCACCCTAATCCCCAGTACATTTCCCCAAAAGCAATGACTATAGACTCTCTTAATATATTTCTTATGACAGTTAAACCTTCATCTTTTAAATAATATTCTTCGGCTTCTGCTTCTTGGCTTATTTTACACAATAACTTCATTTTTCTTCCATGACTTCCATTTTTAAAGTCTTATTCCCTCCCGCTCCAGGGCACCTGGGTGGCTCAGTCAGTTAAATGTCCCATTCTTGATTTCGGCTCAGGTCATGATCTCACAGTTCATGAGTTCGAGCCCTGTGTCAGACTGCACTGACAGTGTGGAGCCTGCTTGGGCTTCTGTCTCTCTCCTGCTCTCCCCCCCCCCCCCCCCCCCCCGCGCTCTTGTTCTCTCAAATAAACAAATAAATAAATAAACATTTAAATAAATAAACATTAAACATTAATGTTAAATAAATATTAAACATCCCTTAAATAAACATTTAAATAAATAAATAAAAATCGTATCTTCCCTATGAAGCTATGTGATGTTTTGATTAATATGGTAGCCAGTGTCTACATCTTCATCACTCTACAAACATTGTTCCTTAATTTTTACCACCAGAGAGGACATTTACTTGCACTTCCCTGCCCCAAATAATCAAATCTGATATTCTTTTGACCCATCTCCTTTTGGGTGGGGGGCGCTGAGTGCCAGAGCTCCCTAGAACCCCCATTCCAGTGTGGGCTGCCTTCCCTTCCTGGGCTGGACCCACCATCCTGGGCCATGTCTTCTTAGTTTTACTCTTTGTTTTGCTGACATTTGCGATCAACACATAGTTTCCCAAAAAAGGATCTATGGAGTATAATTTTTTCTGAGTCCTTTGCAGATCTAAAAATATCTTTATTCCACTCTCGAGCCTGATTAAATTTTGCAGAGGTATAGTTTACGTGATGGGTTGTGAAGCCATTTCTCTGTAGTATTTAAGAACCCAGTGTTGATGTTGAGAAGTCTGATAGCCTTCCAATTCTCTTCCTCCTGTATGTCACCTGTTTTCTGCTACACCTGAAAGCCTTTAGGATATTTTTACATTCATTGCACTGGGCATTCTGTGAGCCCTTTTAAGAGGTTCTGGGGAAAATATTTGCATAATTTATTCAATAATGTCCTCTCCTCTCTTTTTTCTCTGATCTCCTTTTGGAATTCTTTTTACTAGGTAGAGGTTAAATGCCTGGCATGAAATATCACATCTCTCAGTTTTGTCTTTTGTTTTCTCTGATGTCATTTTGCTGTGCCTTCCAGAATATTCCTCTCACACGATTTTCCAACCTTCTAATAGTTAAAAATTTTTCCCAATCAGGTTTTAAGTGTCCACAGCCTCTTTTTGTTCTGTAATCGCTGCTTTTTCAAAGCCTGCTTTCCTGGTTTTCTGAATGCAGTATCTTCTTAGCTCTCTCTCAGCCATCAAAATCAGTGTTTTGATTTCTTTGAAAGCTCTCACTTATTTGTTCCCCTTTCCTGGTTCTCTGATATTTCCTTTCTTTCTGGGGTGTTTCTTCAAATGCATAGGTCAATCCTTGGAATTTGTATCAGTTTCTTAGGACTGCCATCACAACATACCACAGATGGGGGGGTTACAGATATTTCTCTTCTCACCACTCTGGAGCTGGGAAGTCCAAGATCGAGGTGTCCACAGGGTTGATTTCCTCAAGGACTGTCCTTGGCTTGCAGATGGCCCTCTTCTCGCTGTGTACTCATGTGGCCTTTCCTCTGTGCGTGCACCCCTAATGTCTCTTCCTCTTCTTCCAAGGACACTGGTCCAGCTGGATTACGGCCCACCCGTGGGGCCTCATTTAACCCCAGTTACCTCTTGAAAGTCTCCAGATACAGTCCCACGGGGAGGTAGTGCTTCGACATACGGTTTGGGGGAGGACACAGCTCCCTGCATAACAACATTCATTCCGATTGCAAAATGGGCCACTAACCCACTGATGGGAATCTCGGACTCTGGCCACAGGTGCTCTGTCTTTAAGGGGACACACGGGATTGGCTGCTTCGCCGGGCACACGTTTCCATATGTGGGACCCATCTTCTCACCATGGAACAATGTTCCCATCTCCTACTCAGGTATAGCAACCTGGCTGCCGGGAGCCTGTGTGTGAGATGGGAAAATGATGAGGGTGATCAAACCTTTTGAATTCAAGGGACCCCCTCCCCCTTGACTTCGGCTCCAACCTTGTCTCATGTCTCCAGAAAAGAAATTGCCAGGCTCTGATCTTAACTCTTCTGTGCAGGGAGGGGTAAAGAGAGCTGCCTGCTATATATATGAGAGAGCCACACCCGGCCTGCCCCCAGCTCCCAGCCACTCTGGGCGTTCACCTTGGAGCCCTCTCGCTGCGCACTTGGGGGCCTGGCCTCCTCTGGCTTCCACGCCGTTACCTCCTGTCCAGCAGCTTGCTGCCTTCCAAACCTGGGTTGAAATCTCATGCACACTGAGGTTCCCTCAACCACTCTTCTCCCAGGAGAGTTTTCGGATTTGTCTGCATTCACTGTTGAATCAAGAAGGAGAGGGCACAGACACACATATTCAATCAGCTCAAAAGGAAGACCTTTTTTTTTTTAGAAAGTATGAAATATTTCTAATGAAAGGGAAATATAGAGAAAAATACCATGAACTTTCTGTGTACATGTCATCAGGCTTTATCATCCAACCTTATAAAAATTTTGCCCCATTTACTTCAGAGATTAAGAAATAAACCTTAGGAACACAGTGAGGGCCCTTCCTTCGTCCCAGTGCCCTCCCCCCACAGGAGTAATCACCTCCTAAATTTGGTATGTTTTCCATATGCATTTAGGCAGCATCACACCCTACTTGGTCTTTTGTGCAACATTATGGTGTTTACAATATCGATACACGTAGCTCCAGCCAACCTGTGTTGAGGGAATAATTCACTTTGTCCATTCTCCTGTTGAGCGAAACAAGTTGCGTGTAGTTTCTACTACAAACATTACTGCACTAGACATTCTTTAACACATGATTTTATGTCTTTATTTTATTTTATGAGACAGAGACAGAGAGCGAGCAGGGGAGGGGCAGAGAAAGAGGGAGACACGGAATCAGAAGCAGGCTCTAGGCTCCAAGTTGTCAGCACAGAGCCCAACGCTGGGCCCGAACCCCTGGACTGTGAGATCATGACCTGAGCCGAAGTCGGACGCTCAACTGGCTGAGCCACCCAGGCACCCCTGCAATAGACATTCTTGCACGTATCTCGGGATACGTATGAGGGTCCCTTCAGGCCATGTTCCTAGGGATAGAATTTTAAGCACACCATTTGTATACATTCAACTGAAGTAGATATTGTCAGAACGGTTGTGCCATTTCATAGTCACATCAGCTGCAGACCGATTCACGTTGTCCACTTTCTTTCCAGCACATGAGATTGTGTGCTTTTATATTCAACAGGCTAACTGGTATCAAATCAGATTTTTTAAAATAGAGATTTCGACTAACACTAACATGGACTGAGCATGGATCAGGAATGAGTAAACTTTTTGCTTTCTTTCCCTTAGCGGTAGGCTCAGGAGTGCGGGCCAATTACTTGAAACGAGAGCGTATGTTTTATAAGCATGTTATACATTTTGATCTGAAGTGATCTTCTGAATACCAGTTTTAAGAATTTTCGCTTATAGAAAATGAGATAGATTTTATTGTATCAAAGTATATGATGAATACATAGAAATGATAGAAAATTGAACTTAAGCCAAGTAGATGATCTCTAAGTCACAGAAGTATCTAATATAGCTTCTCTTAAATCCTTCTGATTTAGGAAATTAAAAAATGAGCCTTTGAAAATGCTAGGTTTACAATGAGAAGCATTATAATTCAAAGTTTATTGTATGGATCCTTGACATTTGGGATCTGGATAGCTCTGTTGTATGGATTTATTCACCACAATCATGTGAGCAACTTGGAAAAGAAAACCCAGGAGCCTGCCTTAATTTGGTCCCTTGAAAAAAAATTGCATCGACAAGTTACCCATGACTCAGAGCAAATGCCAAGACCATATGTGAGATTTGTAAGGCCTGACGAAGATGAAACCAAAGAACGGAAACCTGTTTTAAAATTTAGTAAGTATTTTGATTTTCTCCATTAGCCATTTTAAGGGGAAAATACACCATAAAAATATATAAATTATAAATCATTTTATATATATATATATTAGGGAGAGCACAAAGGGGGGCGGGGCAGAGGACGAGAGAGAGAATCTTAGGCAGGCTCCACACTCAGCATGGAGCCCAATGTGGGACTTCCTCCTAATACCCTGGGTTTATAACCTGAGCTGAAATCAAGTCAGCCACTCAACCAAATGAGTCACCCAGGTACCCCACAACATTATATATTTTTAATGTATTTGGAGATACTCTGCAATGAATCACAGTGCTACAGTAAATATGGATTATAAGGCTTTGTGTGGACATATTTTGTTTCTCTTATGTAAACACCTAGGTTTGGGACGGATGGGATTGTCACCCTACTGTACTCTTTAAATTCTCTTTTGAGTGGTGTCATTCAAGAACAATTTTATTTTATCCTTTTATTTTTTTTTATTTTTACTTATTTCGCTTATTTGTTATCTATCTATGTATCTATCTATGTATCTATGTATCTATGTATCTATGTATCTATCTATCTATCTATCTATCTATCTATCTATCTATTTTTGACGGAGAGAATCTTAAGTAGCCAGCATGGAGCCCAACTCAGGGCTCAATCCCACAACCCTGGAATCATGACCTGAGCCGAATCAAGAATCAGATGCTTAACCAACTGAGCCACCCAGTCGCCCCCAAGAAGGACAATTTTAAATTTTGATGTTCTATCCATCCTGTTTTCTTGTATGGTTCATGTTGTTTATGCCTTATCAAAGTAACCTTTGCCTACCTCACGTTCACAAAAGATTCCATTCTGTGTTTTCTTTTAGACATTTTAGGTTTTAGATTTCACTCTGTATTTTACATTAGGGCCACAGTCCATTCTAAGTGAATTTCTGTGATGCTATGAGGTAAGAATCAATGTTCATTTCCCCCATGTGGATATCAAGTTCATCCAGCACCATTTAATCTTGTCACCTCTGTCAAAAATCAACAGACTGTTTTTGTTGGGTCTCTTTCTGAATTCGAGTCTCATTCTTTTCAAAAATTGTTTTGAGGCACCTGCGTGGCTCAGCTGGTTAAGTGGCTGACTCGATTTCGGCTCAAGTTATGATCTCACAGTTTGCGAGTTCGAGTCCCACATCAGGTTTTGGATTTACAGTTCAGAGCCTGCTTGGGATTCTCTCTCTCCCTCTCTCTGCCCCTCCCCAATGCTCTCTCTCTCTCTCAATAAATAAATAAACTTGAGGGGCGCCTGGGTGGCTTAGTTGGTTAAGCGTCCGACTTTCGCTTAGGTCATGATCCCGCGGTTCGTGGGTTCGAGCCCTACGTCCGGCTCTGTGCTGACAGCCAGCTCAGAGCCTGGAGCCTATTTCAGAGTCTGTGTCTCCCTCTCTCTCTGACCCTCCCCTGCTCACGCTGTCTCTCTCTCTCTCTCCTAGAAATAAATAAAACATTAAAAAAATTTAAAATAAATAAACTTGAAAAAATTGTTTGGTTATTCTAGATATTTTGCTTGTTCATATAGGTTTGAAAAACAGTTTATCAATGTCTACAAAAAAAAAAACCTGCTGGGTTTTGTTTTGTCTTGAGAGAGAGGGGCAGAGAGAGATGGAGAGGGAGAGGGAGAGGGAGAGAGAGAGAGAGAAAGAGAGAATCCCAAGCAGGCTCTGCTTTTGATATGTTGAATTTTCATTTTCATTCAATTCTATATATTTTTATATTCCCTTTGAGACTTTCTCTTTGGATTATTTAGATTATTTGGAAATAGACTATTTCCAAGTCTTTGGATAATCTTCTACTGTCTACTACTGATAGTCAGTTTGATTCATTTATAGTCAGAAAATATGCTCTGTATGATTTCAATTCTTTTAGGATCTTTTTGAGGTTTGTTTTATGCTCCAGGATATGGTCCATATCTGGTGACTGCCCCATGCACGCTTGAAAAACAACGTGTGTTTATTCTTGTTGGCGTACAAGTTTTTTATGTCCTCATCAATTAGACTCTGTTGGGTGATCGTATTGTTCAGTTCTTCCGAGTTTTTGGCTAGTAGTCTTGTCAGTTGCTAAGAGTGGGGGTTGAGGACCCCAACTGTATTTCTGGGTTTGTCAGTTTCTACTTTAACTCTATCAGCTTTTGCTTCGTATATTTGAGACTGTTTTTTGATGTGTTTGTATTTGGAATCAAGTGTTGCTGGTGCACTGATCTTTTGATCATAATGTAAGTTCTCTCTTTGTCTCTAGTCGTTTTCTCTGGTCTGTTTTATCTAATAATATAGTCACTCCTGCTTTTCTTTTTTAAGTGGGCTCCATGCCCAAAGTGGGGGGTTAAACTCAAGACCCTTGGATCAAGAGTCACATGCTCTACCGACTGACCCAGCCAGGTGCCCCAGCTGCTTTTTTGATTAATATTTGCAAAAGTATCCTTTTGTGTCCTTTTAATATCAATCTACCTGTGTTTCATTGAAGTAAGATAGCGTATTATTGGGGCGCCTTGGTGGCTTAGTCGGTTAAGCATCCAACTTCAGCTCAGGTCATGTTCTCACAGTTCGTGAGTTCAAGCCCCACGTCAGGCTCTGTACCGACAGCTCTGAGCCTGGAGCCTGCTTCAGAGTCTGTGTCTCCTTCTTTCTCTTTCTGCCCCTCCCCCAATTGTGCTCTGTCTCTCTCTCTCTCTCTCTCTCAAAAATAAACATTTTTTAAAAAGTTAGCATATTATTGGAACATTTTCTAAATCTACTCTGTTAATCTATGCTTTTAATTGGTACGTTTAGATCATTTGTATTTAAGACAGTTATTGGTGTCAAGTTTCTTAGTCAATTTGTTTTTCATTTGTTTCCTCTGTTTCTCAATCTTCTGTTTCCCTTACCTTTCTTTGAGTTAGTTGAACAATTTTTCAAAATTCCATTTTGATTTATTTTATAGTTAAAAATTTTTTAATGTTTTTACTTATATCTGAGAGAGAGAGAGAGAGAGAGACAGCATGAGCAGGGGAGGGTCAGAGAAAGAGGGAGACACAGAATCTGAAGCAGGCTCCAGGCTCTGAGCTAGCTGTTAGCACAGAGCCCAAGGCGGGGCTCGAACCCATGAACCGTGAGATCGTGACCTGAGCTGAAGCTGGAAGCTCAACTGACTGAGCCACCCAGGTGCCCCTTAACAAATTGCTTCATACAGTTTCACTAGTGGTTGCTGTAGGTATTTCGAATCCATCTGTAACTTATCAGTCTCCTTGAATTGATGTTTTTCCACTTCAAGTGAAGTGTAAACAGTCCCTTACCCTTCCTCAATTAAAAAATATAACTGTCTTCAGTATTGAGCACCACATTACCTGGTGTTATAATTGTTGCTTCAGACACCAAGTATGATTTAAGAAACTCATGAGAGGAGTGCCTCCATGACTCAGTTGGCTAAGCATCTGACTCAAGTCATGATCTCATGGTTTCTGAGTTCAAACCCCACATCAGGCTCTGCACGGACAGGGCAGAGCTTGCTTGGGATTCTCTTTCTCCCCCTTTCTCTCTGCCCCTCCCCCACTCGGTCCCGCTGTCTCAAAATAAATAAACATTTTAAAAATGAAAAAAAAGACTCATGAGAAGGACAGCTATTATTTTATCCCCATTTTTATTCATTTTGGTGCTCTTTTTTTCTTTTTTGAAGTTCCACATCTCCATCTGTTATCACTTCCTTTTTATTTAGAGAACTTTATTTTGTGATTCTTTAAGGTTGGGTTTGCTAGTCACAAATTCTTGGTTTTTCTTCACTTAGGAGTATCCTTATTTTCTCACAGTTCCAAAAGGATATTTTTGCTGGGTATAGAATTTGCTGTTGACAGTTCTTTTCTAGTAGCATTCAAAAATGTTGCGTCACTTCCTTCCCTCCTCCATGATTTCAAACGAGAAGCCCATGGCCATTCAGATGGACCCTCTGTGAGTCCTACTTCTCTTCTCTCTGGCTGCTTTCAAAAGTTTTCCTTTTTCTTCAGTTTTCAGAAGTTTAGTTATGATGTGTCCTGACGAGCATTTCTTTGATTAATCCTGCTTGGGGTTTTGCTCAGCTTCCCCAGTCCATAGATGCCCTGCTTTCGCCAAATTTGGGAAGTTTCCAGCCTCATTTCCGAGAGTACTTCTTCAGTCCTACACTGACTCCTCCCCTTCCAGGGCTCCGATAACACAAAGATTGGCTCTTGCGTCGTCAGTACGCAAGTTCCTGAAACTCTTTTTTTTTCCTGTCTGCTTTCTCTGTTGCTCAGATTCAATGGATTCCATTGATCAGCCATCACCGCTCTCCTGTGAAGCGGTCCAGTGAGTTTTTGATTTAGACCTTTGTGTTTTTTAGTTCTATATTTTCCTTTTAAAAAAAAACTTCTATTTCTTTGCTGAGATGTTCCCTTTTCCATTTGTTCCCAAGCATCCTTATGACGACCGCTTTAACATGTTAAGTCAGATCATTCTGACCTCTGATTCATCTTTGTAGTGGCATCTCTTGATTGTCTTTTCATTCCATTTGAAATCTCTGGTTCTTGGCATGACAAAGGGTTTTCAACTGTATTCTGGTTATTATGGATATTATGCAACCCTGGTTCCTAATTAAGCCTCTTTATTAGCAGACCATCCCCTGCTGAGATGCAGCATGATGGGGTGGGTCCAGCTGGGCGGTATTCTCAGTTTCCCTCTGGGCCTGCTGACATCATCCCAGCAGCAGGAGATCACAGCCCACTCAGACTCCTTGGAGGGGCAGGGGAAGTTCAGTGCCCCCTCTGGTAAGATGGGGCACAGATGTGCATGAAGTTGTCTCTGAGTTAGCTCCCCAGTGGGCCTCACGGTCAGCGTGGTTAGGAGACAGAGGAAGCAGAGTCACTCTCCCAGACTTGCATAACCTGCTTCTCTCTTACTGCCACTGGGTGGGGTAGAGGCGTAGCTCTCTGCTGGGCCCTGCTGACCTGAGGGATAGGGGCTATGTGGAGCGGTGGCTAGTCCCACCTTGCACCCCCTCCATAAGTCTTGTGGCTGTCAGGTGGGTTTGGAGGCTCGGCGTACTACTGCCAGGGCACTATCTTGGGGAGAATCAGAGCACTGTCTGGTTCCCCCAGGCCGGCTTCTGGAGGGTCAGCTCCCCGCTCAGCCTGCCCACACCACCCAGGTATTCAGAGGGGCACTGCATGCTTCTGCTAGGGAGGGGGACAGAAGAGTAGGTTCTGCTCAGTTCTGCCCACATCACTGCCCTTCGCTCCCTTGGTGGGGGTGGAAGGCCCTCTCCCTGCCCAGTGGGTGGCGTGGTTCTCCAGCTGCTGCTGCTTGACTTGACTAGATTAGGTCTGGACAAAGGTTTTCTTGGTTAGCCACCCCCCCTCGCCCCCCGGCCCTGTGGCTGGAGGGAGCAGACTTATCTTGGAGGGCTTTTTGCCTGCGCCTATTGGTGGCTCTACTGGGAAGCTTCTAGGGACGTTTATCTGGGAGTTATGGGAGGCAACGAGGCAATCAGGAGCTCCCCGTGTCCTTCCTCCATTCCTGTGGCTCTCTGGCCATCTGCCTCCTCATTTCCCCCCTTCAGAGCCCTTCTATGCTTATCGATTGTGTTATGTCCGAGATTTCCCAGGTGCAAGAAAGAGGACTTAGGGGAAATGGGATCACTGCATCCTGAAGAGAATCCTTTATATTATATATAACGTAGCCTTTCACATCCATTTTGGAAAGCACTCCATAGGCATTGGAAAAGAAAGTGCATTCTTCAAAAACAAAGTAAACTTCAAATCCACTAAGGACATATTACTAATGGCATTGGTCAAGTTCTTTCTGTTTCTCTGATTTAGAGTTGTTCTTAAAATATTCCATTACTATTTGTGGCAATATATACTCATATCTCTAATGATTTTAATGGCATTTTGCGGCAGCATGATTTGATGTCGGCAAGCTCATTACTATTTAGTCTTTATTGTGAGTATAAAATGACCTTCTGGATGTTGCTGCCAATGAATTCTGTACTTTTTAGAATGATGTTTTGACTCCTGTATTCTTAGACCATTCTTTTAACCATTCTAGTTCATTCTATTTCTCTTTTATGATTACATTTTTTCTTCATTGACATCTGAGAATTTTTCTCTCTTATGAGGAGTTTTACTCCAACTTCATTTAGTGTTAGGACTGATAATTTGGGGATGGCCTCTGGCAACTTGTTATTATCTTGTTTTTATGATCTTGTTTTTAATAAATGGCCTCTGGCATCTTTTATTCTCTGCAGTGGAATCTGGGGGAAGAGGTTTGAGCTTTCCTATCTTCCCCAAATCCCTCAGTTTCTACAATCTCACCACGGTTGTGAATCATGATGGGATTAAGGAGGCCGAGTGCTTCCTTCTCTAGAGAGACCGAGTGACTAAAGACTGGCTTGTCATTCATACTTTTCTAAGGAATTTGCTCTGATTTTAACCCTGTCATCTGGGGGTAGTTAGGTGCCAGGACCATGACTCTGGCCCATTATAAAAGGAGTGAATTCAGGATATAGTGGTTCTTATTGTCCTTGATCAAAGTGATGTTAGTAAACTCATTACTTACGTGGCTCTCATTACCCTTTCTTGCAGGTAAGGATTTTAACTATTCAAGCTCGGAATTTGTTGATGGATTTTTAAAATATGGATTTAATACCATTCTCAGTAAAAGCTTGGGAAGTGAGCGAGAAGTGCCAGATACCAGAGATAAAAGGTAGGTTTCTCCTTTTTTTTTTTTTTAAATTGAGGTATAATTGAAATATAAGATGATATTCATTTCAAGTATGCAATGTAATTATTTGATATTTTTATATATTGCAAAATAATCACACAATAAGGCTAGTTAACACTGGCCGCCATACATACCTATAAAAAATGTTTGCATGGGTGATGAGGACTCTTAAGATCTACTCTGTCTTCTACTTTCAAATATGCAGCATAGTATTATTACCTATAGTTACCATGTGGACATTATATACCCAAAGTGCATTTATTTTATAATGGAGCTTTGTTTCGCCACCCTCCCCCCACCTTTTCCTCTGGAAACCACCAGTCTGTTCTCTGTATTTATGAGCTTAGGCTTGGGATATTTGCTTGGTTGTTTGTTTTTTAGATTCCATATATAAATGGGATCATATAGTACTTAACTTTCTCTGAATTATTTCATTTAGTGTAACACCCTCAAGGTCCATCCATGTTCTTGCAAATGACAAGCTTTCATTCTTTTTTATGTCGAATAACATTCCATTGTGTATATGATATTGCATCTTCTGTTTTCATTCACCCACTGATGGACAGTTAGGTTGTTTCTGCGTCTTGGTTACTGTAAATATTGCTGCAGTGAACTTGGGGTGCTATCTCTTTATGAGTTAGTGTTTCCATTTTCTTCAGGTAAATACCCACAGGTGAAATTGTTGGATCATACATTAACTTTCTGTTTAATTTTTTGAGGAACTTCCATATTGTTTTCCATTTCCATTGGCTGCACCAATGTCCATTCCCACCAACAGTGCATAAAGGTTTGCTTTCTCTACATCTTCTTCAACATTTGTTGTTTCTTGTCTTATAATAGCCATTCTAGCAGGTATGAGATGATATCTCATTGTGGTTTTGATTCACATTTCCCGATTACTAGTGACACTGAGTAACTTTTCAGGTACCTGTTGGCCATCTTATAACTTTGGAAAAATATCTATTCAGATCTTCTGCTCATTTTTTAATTGAACTGTTTGTTTGGTATTGAGTTTTATGAATTCTTTATATATTTTAGATGTTAACCCCTTACCTGGTATATGATTTTCTCTCGTGCAGTAGGTTGCCTTTTCCTTTTGTGGATAATTTTGTTTCCTCTTCAGGAGCTTCTTAACTTGATCTAGTTCCTCTTATTTATTTATTCTTTTGTCGTCTTTGCTCTTGGAGACAGATCCAAAAAATCATCACCAAGATTGATGTCAAGAAACTTACTGCCTCTGTTTTCTTCTAGGATCTTTATGGTTTCAGGCCTTACATTCAAGTCTTTAATCTATTTCAAGTTAATTTCTGTGTGTGGTATAAGAGAGTGGTCCAGTTTCATTCTTTTGCATGTGATTATCAATATTTATTGAATAGACTGTCCTTTCCCCATTGGATAGTCCTGGCTTTTTTGTTACAGTTGATTAATCATAAAAGCATGATTTTATTTCTGAGCACTCTATTCTGTTACATTGATCTATGTGTCTCTTTCTATGCCAATGCCAAACTGTTTTCATTACTACAGCTTTGCAATAGAGTTTGAAATCAGAGAGTGTGATGCCTCCAGCTTTGTTCTTGTTTCTTCAAATTGCTTTGCCTCTTAGTGTCTCCTGTAGTTTCATACAAATGTGAGGATTCTTTGTTTTATTTCTATGAAAAATGCCATTGGAATTTTGATATGGATTGCATTGAATCTGTGGATTGCTTTGGGTAGTAAGGACATCTTAACAGTGTCAAATATCTTTCATTTGTTTGTGTCTTCTTTAATTTCTTTTATTAATGTCTTTTAGTTTTCACTGCACAAGTCTAAAAATAAATACATTTTAAGTTTTTAAATAAACAGTTACTAACCAGATTTAAATTTTGGCATATGAGAATCTTGTAAGATAGGTTCCTGTTTGGGGTACTTGGAGTCAGATAATTCAAGAGCCTATTTCAAAATTCTTGGATTGAGAATACCTTCCCTATTCGCACTAAAAGTGTTCTAGGTGATCACAAGAATTGCATCTCCCACATGATAAGATATTTTTATTAAATTACCAGTAAGGACATTTAGCCAAAGGGATATTTATTTTTCTTTCTTTTTAATTTTTTAATGTTCATTTATTTATTTTGAGAGTGAGAGAGCAAGAGCAAGAGAGGAGGGGACGAGCAGAGAAAGAAGGGGGGGGAGAGAGAGAGAGAGAGAGAGAGAGAGAGAGAGAATCTCAAGTAGACTCCACGCTGTCAGCCCGGAGCCCAATGCGGGGTTCGATCTCACAAACGATGAGATCACAACCTGAGCTGAAATCAGGAGTGGGATGTTCAAATGACTGAGCCACCCAGGCACCACTAGAGAGAGATTGCCCAAAGAGAGAACTGAACTTGGAAATTTCAGTATTCAGAATATTAACTTATTTAATAGGAGATCCGGTTATGTACAAAGTATACTTCTGGGTTTAAAATAAATTTTAACTACTAAGAATAGTTGCTACTATTGGAGTCCAAGCAGGTTTTCAGCCATTCTTGTGTTAATCTTATCATTCCCCTACATGGGATTTCCATTTCAGCTTTGCCTTAAAGTCCTCATGATTATTTTCACTAACTATTGAAGTATTTGATACAGATCTTTGAAGGGTCCATTTTTATATTGCTTGGTCTTCTGATTTACTTTTTATCTTTTAACTTTTCAATTTGGAAATAATTTCAGACTTACAAAAAAATCTCTCAGAGAATTCCTGTGTAACCTTTTCTTAGATTCCCCAAGGGTTAGCATCTCCCATCCCCTCAGAACCAGAACACTGAACAAAACCAGGAAATTAACAATACCATTAGCTAATCTACAGACATGATTCAAATATTTACAGCTGCCCCACTAGGGTCCTTTTCCTGGAAGGATCCAACCCAAGACCCCAGTAAGAAACATTTAGGTCAGAAAAGACCACAGCAATATTTATCAGTTAATTTTGGAGAAACTCATACACACAGGGGCCTAAAGGTCCTGGTCAGACATAGTCTCAGGTTTCTCTGCTCGCATGGTCTATCCTCCATTTATCCACAACTTTTCTCAAATGATATGCCCAGGACTGAATTCACGATAGAGATGGCCCTAAGTAGCATGAGCTCCCCCTGAACCATCAATCATGTCCTTCATATTACCCTTCCATCACCCCGTACCCTACTCTCTCTCACCTCCTTCCTCTTTGAGGACTTGATGGTCTTCCTAGAATTTAAGCTTGTCCATCATTTTCCTCCTCGTGTCTGTGAAGCCACATGCAGGACATGGTTCTGCCCTCTTCCCAGCCCCTCAGCCTCTGCCCCTTCCCTGTTCTCACTCCCTGGAGCATGATGTCAGCCTCTACCTGGCAGGCGCATCTTCATCCAGTCTTGGGTAGAAACGTTGACGAGGCAAGACCCTCTTCTTCCGTGGAGCTATCTGGCCCATGAATATGCTGAGGGTCTGTGCTGGGTACCTGGAGGGTTGCCCACCCTGTGCCCCCTTTCCTGGTGTTTCCTGCCTCGTTCCCCTGTCCACAAGTTGCGGTGGGAATAGTGGCTTTCTATCTTCACCCCATGCCCTGGCCACAGTCTGTTAGCCCAGGGATGGGCACCTGCGTTGGGCTGGGCCAGTGGATCCTTACCTGTGCATTTTTGAGAAAGAGAAAGTCTTACCAGTTTCTCCATGGGTGGTGAAGTTGGCCCCATTTCCCACTCCATGGAATAAAGAAGTGCAAACGAGTCAGGTTGCAGAGAGAGGATGAGGCTCCTGTAATGACTTTGATGTAATACTTACTCTCTGCCAAGCGCTGTTCTGAGCATTTGACGTATCAATTCGTTGAACCCTCACAATCTATGAGGAAGGCTGATATTGCTATAGTTACTATTATTCCCAGGTGTAAAGACAAGAGTAGAAATGAACAGAGTGTCCAAGAGGCTTTCAAGCTTCTGGCCCCAGTCATTCTTGATGACTGCACGCTTGTCACTAAGTCCTGTGGGACATTCGGGTCCCCTTCCAATATACTTCCCTTTCTTTTGCTTAAGCTAGCACTGTGGGTTTGTCATTTACAACCAAACTGTTTCAAAATACAACCAAGTAATGCAGCAATTCAAACACTGATTAACAGCTAATAACTAATATTACTAGAATTAAGCTTCTATTTTTCTCTCCTATACACAAAAATAATAACACACTTTTGTCAAATCCCTGGAAGAAATCCAATTACTCTATATCTACTGTCTTGCTTTGTTGCGACAAACTGGAGCACCAGATTTTCGTTGAAGATAGTGCAATGAGGTTAATTTGAGCTTTTCACTGTGTATAAGTGTATTAATACACTCTTATAATAGGAACCAAAATACAAGATAATTCACATTTATACTGTGTTCAGAATAGGAATTAAAATGATCCAAGCAGATTCTCCAGGGAAGGATGGAGCAATTATTGCTGACATAAAGAAGGGAGGGTGACTTAGGGGCAGCTGGGTGGCTCAGTCGGTTAAGCGTCCCACTTTGGCTTGGGTCATGATCTCACAGTTTGTGAGTTCGAGCCCTGCATTGGGGTCTATGCTGACAGCTCAGAGCCTGGAGCCTGGAGTCTGCTTTGGACTCTGTGTCTCCCTCTCTGTCCCTCCCCTGATCACTCGCGCTCTCTTTCTCTCTCTCTCAAAAATAAATAAATGGAATGCCTGGGTGGCTCAATCAGTTGAGTGTCTGACTTCGGCTCAGGTCATGATCTCGAAGTTTGTGAGTTTGAGCCCCACGTCGGGCTCTGTGCTGACAGCTCAGAGCCTGGAGCCTGCTTCAGATTCTGTGTCTTCATTGCTCTCTGCCCCTCCCCCACTCACACTGTCTCTCAAAAATAAATGTTAATTTAAAAAATAAATATTAAAACTTTTAAAAGAGAAAATATTAGAATAGCATAAGAAATTTAAAAAGTTTTTGTATTTTAATTTTGGTGTCTTCAAATGTACTATCACCTAATTATTGTAATCGTCCGTTATGGGAATAAAGAGGAAAAATGCAAGTCACGGTGCTTCATTTTCTTCCTCTTACTTGTCCTGGCAGGTGTTTTCAAAACCACTACCCAACCAACCTACCTACTGCCAGTGTTGTCATTTGTTTCCACAACGAGGAGTTTCACGCCTTGCTTCGGACCGTGTTCAGTGTCATAAACCTCACCCCACACCACTTCCTTGAAGAAATTATTTTGATAGATGACCTGAGCGACTCTGGTAAGACAGAACTCTGTCCATCCATGTCAGGTGCCCTCAAGGCGATCTCAGGTGGCCTTGTGTCGTTTTACCCATTTTACATGTGATGGGTGTGGAGGCGGGCGCTGTTGGTGCACCGGTGGGGATGGGAGAGCCAGTCCCTGCCCTGCAGTGTTGGACTCACGGGTGATTAGTGCTTCCAGGAGGCAAATATCAGAGGACCAGCCTGGTCTTCAGAGGTCATGGAGGCTGTTCAGGAAGAAGTATCAGCTAAACCCATGTCTGAGGGGTGAGTTGGGGTTACCTAGATGGAGAGGAGGGGAAAAAGGTTTTAGGCAGTGGAAATAGTGTTGTCAAGGCCCAGCAGTAACATGGTGAGTTTGGACTAGTTCTGTGCTTTCTGTACTTTATGTGTGAGTATAGCATCGGGAAGAGGTGTGGACATACAACCAGAACCATAAAAAGGCAAGACCGCTCACGAAGGACCCTGTTTGAATTTTCTCCGGAAAAATGGAGTCAAGCCAGGCTTAATGCAGGGAAGACACAGGACCTAAATCCTTCTCACGAAAGAATTCTAATCTGACCAATTACAGTCAAGAGCACATTCCTCCCTGTGCATTGGTTTTAAAGAGTTGTGATATGAATACAAAATCTGATTCGTTGTCTGTTTCACAGCTTAATTATAAACCTGAGGCAAGCCGAGAGAACCCAGACTAGTGACGAGCTTGGAGTCTACAAGTCCCTGGAGGCGTCCTTTTCCCATGGAAGCAAATTCTCAGTATTAGATAGGTTTCCTACCTAAGAGTTAACCTAATCCACTGCGAATCTGACTCCCTGCAGGCTGGGAAAGATAAAAGGAGAGAGAGTATAGGGAGATGAATAGCCAGGGGTAGAAAAGAGAATGTTCCAGAAGATTGACCTGTGAGGAAGTGACTCCAGGGGTGTCAAACTGAAGATTACTCGAGCTAATGTCAGGTGTGTTTAGGAATTTCACACACTGGCCAGGCACTGCCGTGTATGACGTTATTTCTACAGGAGCCACTGTTTATTTCTACTATGTGCACAGGAGGGGATGTGCAGAGATGGTCAGATTCCTTATCTGATCAGTAGCACTAAACACCATATTGGGCCACATCCTGAGCAAGAAGTCCCCAAAGCCATCAGCAAGGGATGGGGTTTGGGGGGAGCTCTTCTGCTAAACTATGGATTTTAAAAAGTTCTTTATGTTTATTATTTATTTTTGAGAGACAGACAGACTGAGTGCAAACAGGGAAGGGGTAGAGAGAGAGGGAGACACAAATCTGAAGCAGACTCGAGGCTCTGAGCCATCAGCACAGAGCCCGATGTGGGGCTTGAACCCATGAACCACGAGATGATGACCTGAGTTGAACTCAGATACTTAACCGACTGAGCCACGCAGGCACGCTAGACTGCGGATTTTTAACTTCTCACCCAGAAGGACAAGTGTCCTGCTATGAAGATACAGTTCCAGGGTGACCACAGGATACCTCTCCAAGCCTTTCAGAACTTTGCCATCAGTCCAAAGACACATGGTGACCACTCACACATTCTTTAGGCCCCTGCGGAATCGTCACCAATGCCCCAGATCTGGGCATGCCAGACCAAGGCCTCTACTTCTCCTTGATCCATATTCCACCAGGGAGGTTAGCGTTTGAGCCACACAGAAGCTCAAACAGAGGAAACACGGGAAACAGGGTGCTCTGTATTCTGCTGGGGCTCAGGATTCACACCTTCCTGCTTTAATTCACAACGATCTCGCATGGGCGGTAGGAGAACTATTTGAACCACAGCTTGTCTTTCCCAGCTGATACCCATGGGTACTACTGATGGACTCCTTGGGAAGCAGGGGACAGGGGTCCGTTGAGTTACATAAGAGGCGTGCCCAGAGCTGACCAGCTGCTACCCATCTTTCTCACAGTCCTGGGCCCTCTTGACCACAAGCCAACAACATGAGCATCTTCTAGAGAACCCAAGCCCTCCATGTCATGGCAGCAATTACTGCTGCCAGAACAGCCTTGATTTTCCCCCTAGGTCAGGCTCACAGGGTTCCTCCGTGTCTTCCATGTTAGAGACGTGTTTGCAGACTTTCGGGCTGAGATGCAGCTCACCTCTCACCCCCACAAGTGCAGCCATGCAGTCTGAGCGGGGACCCTGGCATTCTTCCTAAAGACAAGAAGGAGATGCCTCCTTCTGCTAAGATTACAATGAAATCTGCTTCCATTGATCCTCAGCCTCCTGATGCAGGTTCATAAGACGTCTGAGGCGCCTGAGCCCAGCCTCCTCAGTCATCACAATTAACCTCCAAATATTGAGGAATCATTGAGCCCCAGGCTCGAGGCTGCAGGATAAATTTCTTCCTCTCACTGTGGTACCATGGACAGCCCTCCTCACTGAGCCAGGAGCCGATACTCGAGGGGTTGGACAGTGCGTCTAAGAGTCACTGTCAAGTTTAGAAACATAGAAATGCTGATGCATAGGAGCACATGTATCCCAATGTTCATAGCAGCACTCTCCACAATAGCTAAAACATGGAAAGAGCCTAAGTGTCCATCAACAGATGAATGGATCAAGAAGATGTGGTTTATCTATACCATGGAATACTACATGGCAATGAGAAAGAATGAAATCTGGCCATGTGTAGCAACATGGATGGACCTTGAGGGTGTTATGCTGAGCGAAGTAAGTCAGGCAGAGAAGGACAAATATCATATGTTTGCATGTATAGGAGGATTAGGAGGAACTTAACGGAGGACCGTGGGGGAGAAGAAGGGAGGAAATGGTGGGGGAAAGGGAGAGAGGCAAACCATGAGAGACTCCTGAATGCTGAGAACAAACTGAGGACTCCTGGGTGTTGGGGGGAAGGGGGGAGATGGGTATGGAGGAGGGCACTTGTGGGGATGAGTACTGGGTGTTATATGGAAACCAACTTGACAATAAACTATTTGTAAGAAAAAAAAAGAAAGAAAAGAAAGAAAGAAACACAGTGGTTAGTGAGAAAGTCAGATTGCTCCAAAACGCCACGACTCACACTTTTTCTATTAAATTTTTAACAGTGATTTCTCAAAACAGAGGTATTTCACTAGAAACCGAGAAGAATATTTGCAGTCAATTTCAGTGCTGAATCACATTTCTTTCTCTTCCTCACATAGGGTAACACTTTTAACATTATCACTTGTGCAGCAGAACACAGTTTTTAGGAATCCGTCAAAAGTGTGATATATTGCTTTATTTTCCATAGTTCTAGTTTCTACGTTGTTAAGTGTTGGATTTTTTTTTTCTCCAGATGACTTGAAAGACAAACTAGACTACCACCTGGAAATTTTTCGGGGAAAGATTAAATTAATAAGAAACAAAAAGAGAGAGGGATTGATCCGATCACGAATGGTTGGGGCCTCTCGTGCTTCAGGTATGAGCCTTTCATTCGGGACTTGACCCTGTGTCTGTATCACAGAGACCCTACTGGCCAGGCAGAGATAGTTTCTCGTGGGGCCTCTCCAAGTCTCCACTGGCATAAGAAGAAAAGTGGACATGCATTTCAGTCATATGAGTCTTTGGACTCTGAAAGTAAATATTCCACTTTAAAATGTCAATTTGCTAGTTCTTTTATTTTTTATTTTTTCTGAAGTTTATTTTTGAGAGAGAGAGAGAGAGAGAGAGAGAGGACAGGCAGGGGAGGGGCAGAGAAGGAGGGAGACACAGAATCCAAAGCAGGCTTCAGGCTCTGAGTTGTTAGCACAGAGCCCAACGCGGGGCTCGAAGCCATGAACTGTGAGATCGTGACCTGAGCTGAAGTTGGAGGTTTAACCAAGTGAGCCACCCAGGCACCCCCGACTTGTTATTTCAAATGGAAGGCATGTTCCTGCAGGAGCCGTAATGTTGGCTTCCGTTATAGAATGAGTTCCCCCAGGCACAGCCTCTGAGACGGGGGGCCACATGCAGCTGGAAGAGCAAGACTTCGTAGAGACAGTGGGGCTGTGGCGCAGCTATCTGTCCCATAGGACACCCCCGAGCCAGATGGGGAGCAGGGGCCAAGATGAAATGAGAAGAGAGAGAGTGTCAGGATAGAGAAAGGAGAGTGTGGACCAGAAGGTTCTGACCTGAAACCCACGATGGGAGAGAGGGAAGAGAGGAGCCCCTGGAGGTGTGGCTCTCAAAAGGTGAGGGGGGCTGGTGGGGAGTCCCCAATGGCCCAGCTCTGGCTCTGCCCCCAACATGCATCTGTGCTTAGTCCTTGGCTGGAGTCCCCGGGGAGGCCATGACCAGATCTGTGACCAGATCGCAAAGATTGGGAAGCTGTCAAACAGCTCCTCACAGCAGGCTGTCTTGAAAGGCATCACTACCATCCTGTCTCTGCGGCCACATGGCCTCCTCCCTGTGTCCGTGTCCCCATCTCCCTTAGTTTAAGGGCTCACCTCCTCCAGAAGGCCCTCATCCTAACAAATTCCATCTGCAACAATCCTGTTTCCAAATACAAACCTCCCCCAAGGAGGTTGTCCTAATCTGCTAACATGGTACCTTAATGTGGCACATGTGATCAAAAGTAAACGCCTTGAGGTATTCTATTATCTGATGATGCTAAATGATTTTTCCATGCTACTGCTGAATCACCTTTGGGTTATTTCCACTTGGGGCTCTTCCCAAATATACAAACCCTTGAATACTTGTCTCTTGGTAAATTACACACAGCATTTGCATAGAGCATAGCTCTAGCAGTGGAATTGCTTGGTTATGGAGTATGCATAGGTCCCGACTTACTAGGTAATGACAGACGAGTGAAAATCAAATAATAGAATACTTCAATAACAAAGAATGGCCTACACCATTCACAACTACACGGATGAATACGTATCATTTTGAGGGAGCAAAAGAAGGTAAATGCAAAAGAATAAAGTTGGAAACTCAGCAAGACTAAAGGACAATGTGTGTGGATGCATAATTCAATGAAACACTGAAGAAAAAAAAGAGACCAGGAAGTTATTGCCATAAATACCTGGTTAAATCAGCATGTAGAATCGGGTGGTAGGAACTCGGGAAAAAAAATCTTAGGACACTATGTTCTAAGTCTTGACAAAGTGGTAGTTACAGTTGCATTGGTTTTCTGATAGATCATCAAGCTCTACATGTATATTTTATCTCTTTTTTTGGTATACATGTTTCTTGCAACTAAAAGTTGTGAAATAAAAAATATGAAAATATATTAAATATTATAATATTTATATTTATATTTATTTATATTTATATTTATAATAAATATTAAAGTTAAGGGCCTTGAAATGGGAGATTAGCCTGGGCTATGCAGGTGGGCTCACTCTGACCCAGGGAGCCCTTATGACCAGATGACCTTGTAGGTGGTGGGCGGAGAGGGTCACAGCTCTGACCTCTGTGGTTGGCCCTGAAGAAGGACGAAGGGACCTAGGAAAGCAGGCAGCTTCTAGAAGCTGGAAAAGACACGATGCTCCCCTTAGAGCCTCCAGGAAAGACCTTTGCTCCACCGGCACTCTGATTTTAGCCCGGGAAGACCTGTGTTGACCGTCTGACCTAAGGAACTATAGAGTCATACATTTGTGTCACTGTCAGCCTAAGTTGGCGGTAAAGAACTCCAGTGTATCTAGCAGGAGACCTCTCTCTGCAGGTGGCTGGCCTGGAATTGGAGCACGGTAATTATCTGACTTCCTGGCAATTCAGTTCTTCTGGAATTACAGCCGCTCAGGCTGATTAGGAAGTTTTGCAGGCGGACGCAGAGGGGGCTGAGTGGTTTTGGGGAGAGGGACCCTACAGCTGAGCTCTGCAAAGGCAGCCATACAGAGGGCGGTGGCTGGCTCTTGGCCACAAACAGCAAAGGGAGGCGATGTAGGACCAGACAAAGACCACTGGATTTCAAACCAGAGTCTGGGGTTCGAGATCTTCACGTGCCCATCGCCAGCAACGGCATCCTGGGCAAGTCACTGCTCTGAGCCTGGGCTTCCCACCCTGTGATGTGGGAACAATGGCATCTAATGTGGTTGTTGCCATGATTAAATGGGGTGATTTGGAACATTCCCTTCTTTAGCAGTGTTAAAATGCTTAGCGTACATTGACTAGTACCAAGAAATAGATAAAATGTACATTTTGAATTTATACGCTTCAGAATGATAACAAAGTACATAGGAGAAAACTAGAAGAAATACAGGGCAAAAGTAATAAAAATACAGACTAGCAGCGGTGGAAAGGCTTTGGGAGGTTTTAGAACGCACCAGCCTCGTTGCCTATGAAAGAGGGTAAACTTCCAAAAGATTAGAGATTTGCTCCAGGCCCCAGGCCTCAGGACTCAGACCCAAGAAGTCAGATTTCCACGGTTGTAGACTGCATCGCACTTCCGGGCTATGGGAATACAGCAAACAAACAGAAATTAGAAATTCGAATACTATAGTCACTTGAATTGTTTGGCATGGGAGCCAAATGGCTGTTTAACAGATTTACGGTGCGGATTAAATGCACTGCTTGTTATCACCTGCCTTTCTGATTTTAGCCAGCCTGTGGATGTGTAGTATCTCGCTGAGATTTGGGTTAGCATCTTCCTCATGATCAATGGTTACATTTTCATATGTTTATCAGGCATGTGTATATCTTCTTTGGAGAAATGTCTATTCCAATCCTTTTTTAAAAAGACTTTTATTTTATTTTTGAGGTGGGGAGGGGCAGAGGGAGAGGGAGAGGTGGGATCCCAAGCAGACTCCATGCCCAGCGAGGAGCCTAATGCAGGACTTGATCCCACGACCGTGAGATCAGGACCTGAGCTGAAATCAAGAGTCGGATGCTTAACTGCCTGAGTCACCCATGCGCCTCTATTCAAATCCTTTGCCCATTTTTAAATTAAGTTGTCTTTTTGTTATTGAATTGTAAGAATTCTTCATGTATTCTGAATACAAGTTCTTTATCAGATATGTGATTTTCAAATAATTTCTCCCATTTTGTGGATTTTTTAAACTTTTTTGAAATGATGTCTGTTTAAGCGCAAAGGTCTTTAATTTTGATGAGGTCCTACTTATTTTTTGTTCTGTCACGTCTATGTTTGGTGTCATATCTAAGAAACCATCTAACCTGAGGTCATAAATGTATGCCTATATTTTCTTCTAAAAGTTTTATAGTTTCAGCTCTGACCTTTTTAGGTCTGTGATTCATTTGACTTAATTTTTGTGTTAGCTGTGAGGTAGGGGGCCTGACTTCATTCTCTCTCACATGGGTATCCAGTTGTGTCAGGGCTATTTATTGAAGAGACTGTCTTTTCCCCCATTGAATTGTCTGGGCACACTTGTCAAAAATCAGTTGACAACAGATATTTGGTTTACTTCTGGGACCTCAGTTCTATTCTTTGGTCTTTATGTCTTTCCTTCTGACAGTATCATATTGTTTTATTATTATAGTTTTGTAGTAAGTTTTGAAATCCAGAAGTCCTTCAGCTTTGTTCTTTTTCTAGATTGTTTTAGCTAATTTGGGTCCTTACCCTATGAATTTTAGGATCAGTTTCTTCAAAAAGAACCATGCACGATTTTGATAAAGATTGTATGACTCTATAGATCAATTGGGAGATTGTTACAATATGAAAAATATTAACTCTTCTCATCAACCATGGGCCATTTCTCATAACTTCACAAGATTCTATGTTGGCTGCAAGAAAAAGTCTGAACTCTGAACCTGAATTTTGAGGTCCCTTCCAATTTGAGTCCATCTAATGTACTTTAGCAACACATATTCTTTACTTTGGCCATGCCAATTTTCTCCATGCTCTCTAAGCAGACACTCATTAAACCTTGAACTCAAGACCAAAAACAGTTATGCCTCTGGGCGCCTGGGTGTCTCAGTGGGTTGAGTGTCTGACTCAGCTCAGGTCATGATCTCATGGTTCGTGGGTTGGAGCCCCGCGTCAAGTTCTGTGCTGACAGCTTGGAGCCTGGAGCCTGATTCAGATTCGGTGTCTCCCCCTCTCTCTGCCCCTCCCCCATTCACACTTGGTCTCTCTATCTCTCTCAAAAACAAATAAACATTAAAAAAAGAGTTATGCATCATCTTTGCCTCCCAAGTACCAGCCTAAATACCGAACAAGTTATCCTCACGTAAACATTTGCTAAATTGAATTGATCGATCAAGGCCAAGCTAAAGTAGTATTTTTTAATTAAAGGCCTATTCAGCCCCACCTGCTTCTTTTTTTAAAAATCATTTTTTAAAAGTTTGTTTTATTTATTTTGAGAGAGAGTGTGTGTGTGAGCAGAGGAGGGGCAGAGAGAGAGAGAGAGAGAAAGAGAGAGAGAATCCCAAGCAAGCTCCACGGTGTCAGCACAGAGCCTAATGCAGGGGCTCAAACTCATAAACTATGAGATCATGACCTGAGCTGAAACCAAGAGTCAGACACTTGACCAACTGAGCCACCTGGGCCCCCCAATCTGTTTCTTTAGAATCTTCACTAAACCACTCTCTAACCCACAGTTCACCAACTTCTGAACATCACGGCCCACATTTTTGCACAAAATAAAGTACGCGTTTCTAGTCCCAACCCACCCCCAGTGAAACGGAAAGCACCATAAAAGCCAAACACATAGTATATGCTCAACAGGTACTCTTCCATGGAACTTCGATTTGGGTTGTTGGATGTCTCGTCCATCTGCACTAACACTAGCGTATTCTTGCCTCCCCAGGGGACGTTCTGGTGTTCTTGGATAGCCACTGCGAGGTGAATAAAGTATGGCTGGAGCCCTTGCTGCAAGCTGTTGCTAAGGACCCCAAAATGGTGGTGTGTCCTCTGATAGATGTCATTGACTCTATGACCCTAGAATACTGGCCCTCTCCTGTTGTAAGGGGCGCTTTCAATTGGCATCTACAATTTAAATGGGATCATGTTTTCTCTTATGAGATGGATGGACCAGAAGGACCGACTAGACCCATTCGGTGAGATTCCTTTGGGTTGTGGGGAAATCGCATATATGTATTGAGGCCTGGGGGGTGGGGGTGGGTGGAAAAGAGACTTCAGAGATTATTCTTGCCATCTCTTGGGCTTAATGAAGAGAAGAAATATTGTATTATTTATCTTGTTTCTAAAAATCTATAATAATAGAATTTGGTAGGTTTTCGGTTTCTCTGATTGGAAATGAGCATCTCACCCTGGTTTGGAACATGGCCACGAGGGCATCTAGCTGGCTCAGTTGGTAGAGCATGCGACTCTTGATCACAGGGTGGTGAGTTCAAGCCCCACATTGGGCATGGAGCCTACTTCAGAAAAAAAAAAAAAAAAAAAAAAGAACATCGCCATGTAGTGTCCTCTGGTTCAGGCGTCCATCTTTATAAGGCGAATGTGATTCTCAGGAGCAAGTTGTGTGTGGTCAACGAACAAAATGCTAGCTCTGTGGATAGCTCAGAAAAAGTAACGTCTTTGGTAAATGCATGTATAAAACATTTATCTAAGTGCTTTCATCTGTAATTTTGTAGAGATGAATATGATTTTTCCAGATGATTAGTCTTAGAAAATGTATTTCTACCTGTGGGAACAATTTGATGTTGGGACTTTTAACTGCTTCTCTGAGGCTATTTCTGGAGACTTCCTCCAGGTTACTCCCCACATTTCCTGAAAACTCTGATGCCAGGCTCCTTTTCTTTTACTTCTAGCCTCTTTGTTTCATGAACCACATGAGTAAACTTTCCAACACTATAGCTTAGCAAGTCCTTGATCTTCGTCTCTAACTTAACTAGAGCTGTGTGACCTTGGACAAGTTACTTAACCTCTCTGCACCTTGTTTCCTTACCTGTAAAATCTGGATAATAATATTTTACAGGGTTATTATGAGAATTAAATTACTAAGTATATATCAAAGCTTAGAGCAATATGTTTCCATCATAATAAGTACTACATATATGTTAGATATTTTATACCTGTTAGCTATTATTATTCCTATAGCCATATCCTGGACCACTCATCTTCTAAATTACTGGGTATCGTCTCTTTGGCCATAGCCTAGGATGTTCCTAACTTTTTCTGCTCTGCTCTGCTCTGCCCACACTTACCCCTGGACATCATCAGGATCTCCAGTTCTCTGATTTCTGCTTTTACCGCTCATCGTTTCTTTCTTCTTCTGTGGCCTAGACTTCCTGATCTATAAATTCACTGTTGTTCTTGCCAGTACCTCCGACTGTCACCTCCCTCTACCCTTCTGCCACAGTAGCCCTGCGAATCTCCAACTCTGGACCAGGTCCGCCATCTGTTTTTTGTTCCTTTCAGAGACGTGAACTTACGCTTCTACACGTTGGTGGTTTCTGCCTCATGCTGCCCCGCAATCTCGCCCCAAGTGGGTTTTCCAAACTTGATCACTTCCCTTGGTCCCAGTACCTACCCCTGCCCTGAGCCCCTGCTCTTGGTGTGCAACCTGGCCTCCTAATTCAAGGATGAGATAAAGACTAAGACTCAGGAGGAATAGCTAGGGAATTATTTAGTATTTCACGCTAGAACCATAATGGAATGCTGTGTAGCCATAAGCATGACCACACCTGTAGCATCTACTCTAATCCAGGGACTAACCAGCTCCAGCAGCCCCATCCTTCGTGATGACTCTCACATCACATGTGTCCTTCTCTCTGCTTGTCCACACGCTCCAGGCCCTCACTGTAAGGACCAGTCTGGCCTGCAAGCTGCCCTCCCTCATGCTGATCTCTCTGTTGCTACATTAATGTTCTTAAAACTCACTTTGCCCGTGTAACCCAATGTGTTTCCTTTGCTCTCAGGATAGTGCGTCCCTTCATGCACCTTCTACTTGTATAACTCTGATCTTTGCTCTGCTCCAGCCATCACTTGTTAGCAGTTTAGGGCTGCTGTGTACAACAGCTCATGATCTCATGGTCTGTGAGTTCGAGCCCTGCGTCAGGCTCTGTGCTGACAGCATGGAGCCTGCTTGGGATTCTCTCTCTCTACCCCCCTCTCTCTCTGCTCACTCTCTTTCTCTCTCAAAATAAATAAATAAACCAAAAAAACCTAAAATTAAATAAATAAATAAAACGTACTGTGTATAAATCTTAATTTACTAAAAAAAAAATCAGCCTTTGGAGTACATCACAAAATGAATGTATTTAATTTAAAATAAAGTATTCCATTTACAAAAAAATCTACATAATTTTGTAATATCTCCATATTTCACATACCAGGCATGCTTTAGGCTCTAAAAATTTCACTATGGAAATTGTATGTATTCCTGATAGTTGCTGAGCAGTAACGTTTTTTGAATTCTAATACACTGTTAGCATATATATATAGTCACACGTGCTTTTCGAAAACAATTTGACAATATACATTAAAAACTTATGTTATTTTTTAATGCAATAATTCCACTTATTGAAATATTCCCCTAAGGAGTTAACGAGAAGTAAATCCAGAGACATACATTGTATCAACATTTATATCAGTTAGAAAATACAAACAACATAAATGTTCGATATTAAAATGGCTAAAAACCATATTCATACTCTGTAGAATATCATACAAAGTTTTTGAAAGCTAATTAATGTAAAAGGAAAATTCTCACCAGAGGCTAAATAAAAAATCAGGCCATAAAACCCTGAGTATGATACCAATTATTTGTATAACATATGTTCTACCATATAACATAGAATATATGCTATGCATATGATATGTGTTATGGCATACAGCTCACCCTTAAACAGCACAGAAGTTAGTCTCGCTGACTCCCCTGTACAGTCAGAACCCTGCATATAACTTGTGACTCCCCAAAAACTTAGCTACTAAGAGCCTAGTGTTGACCGAAGACTTGCCGATAATGTAAACAGTTGATTAACACATGTTGTGAGTCCCAGACCTGCCTGAGTCAGCACCACAACTCAACATTTCTCCTGTGAGATACACACACACATGCACACTTCCCAGTGGTTTCCAGATTTTCTAGAATAAAAACTAGAATAAAAACTTTCCCTGTTGAGAAGGCGCAACTTGGATTTGCGATCTGAGTTGCAAATATTTTTTACCCTATTTTCAACAGAACCTATGGCATAACTTTAAAAACTGCTTTGTGAAAATGCTTAAGTTATCAATTTAACAGCTCTTGGTCACATACCTGGCGTGTGCCAGGCACTATGTTCACAGCAGAAAACATGACGCTTGCCCTCAAATGTGTAGTCTGGCAGGAAGGAAGACGGGTAAAAATGTAACCTCAATACAGTGCCGTGGGGGAGGGGCAAGTGTTTTCTCCAGGGCTTTCTGGCTTGGCCAGGATCACAGGTCCCAGTGCGCAGACCAGGATGCATAGCATCTGGTGCATCAGAGAAGATCACTCCTATCAGACCTCTTGTTATCTCTTCCAGTGACAAAAAAGAACCCCTTCCTTTATCAGCTGTCTCTCCTTTCTGCTGCTCTCCTTTGTATGAAAGCCTCTTAGAAAAAGCTGTCTGATCACTATCTCCAATTCTCTTATACTTTTCACTCTGGTGTCTTCAACTCACTTGAATCCTGCTCTGCCCTCACTAGACATGTTAATGGTCTTTACGTCAGCAGGGCCATGTTGGTACTCAGTGCTCACCTAGGGGCCCATCGGTAGTGCTCCATGCTGCCGCCTTCTTCCTCCTCCTTGACGTGCGTTCCTCCCTTGGTCTCCAGACCATCACAGATTTCAGGTCTTCTTCCCACACCCCCGGTTCCTCCTTCCCTCCCTTCTCTCTGAACTCTTTCTGTCCAAGTGCCCGGGACACAGTTCTTCATCGTCTCCTCCATGCCTCCTCGCTCACAGAGTGCCGCTTATCTCTCCTATTTTAAGGACTCCCAAAGCTACGTCTCCGGCCCCAGTCGCTCTCGGGGTGCCAGATGCTTCTGCCCAACTGCCTACTGGCTTCTGAACTTGAATGTCACCTCGACTTCTCAAACACGTCCCCAGCTGAATCTTCCCACCAAATCCTGCCCATCCAGCAGCTCTGTCTCAGCGCAGGGCACCTCTACCTTTCAGGTACCCAGGCCAGAACGCTGAGCCAGCCTTCACCCTTCTCTTCCTCCTTTACCCCACCTCCCACCTGTAAGGAGATCTGCGGGTTTCCATCGTCAAAACGCATGGGATGTTGGGCCGTGTCTCACTACCTTACCCACAATTCCATCGTCTTTCTCTGGGACCAGTGCAGTAACTAGTGTCCTTACCTCCATCCATGCCGCACATGAGCTGGGATCTGGGCCCGTTGATTCACTAATTTATCCCTAACACATCATAGGTGCTTAACAGGTACCTCTTCAAAAATGAATGAATGAATGAATGAACATGAAATTATTTTCAAACTACTTAGTTTGGCGTTATTGGGTCTGGCAATTGCTGGACCAAAAAGGAAAAAAAAAGAAAAAGATGCTTCGTAACATCATGGTTTTCCCAGAAGTATATATATTATAATTCACGTAATATGCTTAGAAAGGGAGATCTTTAAACTCTACTACCCAAGTCCAGTAGTTATCTCCAGGAGAAATTTACATTCTAAAGGTAATGTTCCTCTTAAGAAAAAGACAATGTTTGGGTGCCTGGGTGGCTAAGTCAGTTAAGCATCCAACTTTGGCTCAAAGATCAAGATATTAGATCTCGTGGTTCGTGAGTTCAAGCCCTGTGTCGGGCTCTGTGCTGACAGCTCAGAGCCTGGAGCCTGCTTCAGATTCTATCTCCCTCTCTCTCTGCCCCTCTCTCCCTCATGCTCTCTCTCTCTCTCAAAAAAAAAAAAAAAGAAAGAAAAAGACAACATTTAGACTATATCGCTAACACAGTTTGGTGAGAGCTAAGTGAAAGTTACTGCCTACTTTTAGGTAGTTATGGTTTCAATTTACTAATTTTACATTTAATGTAATGTACCTACATCGAGTTAAATATACATCAAGTTAATAATTTTAGTATAAATATTGTCATTTTCTAGTTTTTATGTTATTGCTAATATGCAACATAATTCTGGCAAAAATCCATAATGGCTGAATCCGTGATTTAATATTTATGTGTCCTTTTTAGGTCACCTGCAATGGCTGGAGGAATTTTTGCTATAAATAGGCATTTCTTTAACGAGATCAGACAGTATGACAAGGGCATGAACCTCTGGGGAGCAGAAAATTTGGAGCTTTCATTAAGGGTAATTCTGACTCCGCTTTTTAAATAGTTCCCTTTGTACAGAGAGAGTGAATGCTGACTTCAAGTCCACAGGCATTTGGTGGCATTTGTGCCCAGTTTTCCCACACGAACATCCGGTACCATTCCCGTGTCGCATGAAATAAATGATCTGTGAGATGTTCTATGATAAATGATCTACGTTATTTTTTTGTTATGGGATGTTGACTTAATGTACTATTTTTGTTTATTTGTGAAAACTCTTTTATTATACGGATTGTCTTGGTGACTGTGATGTGGTAGAAATAAGAGGATTAGACAGTGGGGGACTTGGGTGTCACTACCTCTATGGGCTATCTCAGGCCTCAGTTTCTCCATCTGCAACTTGAGAGTACTCGGTAAGGGATGGCTGGGTTGTCTTTCAACTCTTGAATCCCAGCATACCTGCTCCAACGTGGTGGACCTTGAAGACATGATGGTGAGTGAAAGAAGCCAGACACAAATGGCCACGTATTTATATGAGTAAATCCAGTCGTAAGAAAGGTGCAGACGAACAAATCCATAGAAACAGAAGGTAGGTGAGTGGTTACCGAGGGCTTGAGCAAGGAGGGTGAGCGCTGATAGGTCCCCGGGCTCTTTTTGAGGTGGTGAGAATGTTCCAGAATGAGATAGTGGTGATCATTGGTCAACCTCATGAAAATAGTCAGAGTCATTGTATCCTGTAGAAGGGTGAATTTCTTGTAGCATGTGCATTACGTCTCAAATTTAGATGTAGATTTGGCTTGTAAATATTCCTGTGATATTAGATCAGTAGACATTAGATGTTAGAATGTGTCCCAGCTCAGCTGCTAACTTGGGGTAGGTCCTTGGTCAGCCATTAACTTTTCTAATTTCTCATTTCCTCACCCAGTAAATAGGAATAAATATAAATGCCATTCTCAGAATTTTGTGAAGATTTTGGGGGTTTTTTTTTGTTTATTTAAAAAAATTTTAATGCTTGTTATTTATTTTTGAGAGAGAGAGAGAGAGAGAGCATGAATGAGAAAGGGGCAAAGAGAAGGAGACACAGATTCAGAAGCAGGCTCCAGGCTGTCAGCTCAGAACCCAGCACGGGGCTCGAACTCACAAACTGTGAGATCACGAGCTAAGCCAGAGAGGGACGCTTAACAGACTGAGCCACCCAGGTGCCTGTTTGTTTATTTTACTTTAATTCCAGTATAATTAGCACGCAGTGTTATGTTCGTTTCAGGTGTACAATATAGTGATTCAACAAGTTCACGGCCCTGTGCTGTCACAACAGGTGCATCCCTTGATCCCCGTCACCTGTTTAACCCCCCCAAACACCTCCCTCTTTCTCCTCTAGAGATAAGAGTCTGGTTCTTGGTTTGTCTCTCTCTCTTTCTCTTTTTTTCTCCCCTTCTCTCATTTGTTTTGTTTCTCCAGTTCCAATTTTGTGAAGATTTAAGGACATAATTGGGGTAGAGAATAAAGTACAAGGCAAATATTCCTGAAAAGAATCTGAAGAAAACACTAAGGTACTATTCAGATATTTATTGTGTGTTTATCGTAGGTAAGTTTTGGCTTTTGACTAAATTCTGATAGACTTTTATAACAGTCACTTTGTGCATAAAAATCTGGACTGTGAGCTCACCCCTATCATGCTTAATCATTTTTTCTCACTTTTCTCTGCCTTGTTTGTCTCTTCCCAACAGAGACAACCTGGTGTGGAAGAAACAGCTTAATCAGTGACTAAATTCAAATTCTGCTTGAGCTTTAGTTTCCTTGCAGATAAGATGGGGAAAAAAAGAGATCTCCATTACAAAGCTGTAAAGTCAGATAATTTATAGAAGCTGCTTAATAAGTGACAGCTATAATTATTCTTTAAATTTTGCCATCTGTTCTTTATATTCTGAAATCATCTGCAGAGATCATACTTGGAATTGCATATATCATCTTAGGATGCATTAAAATGTTTACTGTTATTGCTTTTTTGTGTTTCCTTCTTCTGACTTTTTTTCTGTCTTGGATTTTATCTCTCTCTTCCTTCTTTTGGCTTTGTTCACTTGCTTAGTGTTCTTTTAAGCACAGACTCCTTTCATAATGCTTCAGACACTTTATTGTGAATATAAAAATATCTAGAGTAATACAGTTTTCCTCTTAATCCCCTATTTGGTGGTATGCTGTGAGCTGATTACTTTTTTTTTTTTAATTTATTTCTAGGAGAGACAGAGAGAGAGAGACAGCGTGAGCAGGGGAGGGTCAGAGAGAGAGGGAGACACAGACTGAAACAGGCTCCAGGCTCTGAGCTGGCAGTCAGCACAGAGCCCGACGTGGGGCTCGAACCCACGAACCGCGAGATCATGACCTAAGCGAAAGTCGGTCGCTTAAACGACTAAGCCACCCAGGCGCCCCTTCATGCTGACTTTTAACTCGGCTGCCTTTGGTGCCTTTGTTACCCTCTTTCCCTGTGGCTCATTAAAGCACCTTGCATCCATTCATCCACAGCTCCCCCGTGAAGTCCCAGAGGCTTCTGACCAGGGGGCCTCATAACCANCAGTCAGCACAGAGCCCGACGTGGGGCTCGAACCCACGAACCGCGAGATCATGACCTAAGCGAAAGTCGGACGCTTAACCGACTAAGCCACCCAGGCGCCCCTGAGCTGATTACTTTTATTGCTTCGCCCCCTCGCATCCCCCGCCCCAGCCCCAATCATGTGATCCCTTTTGATCCAGGCATTATTTTATAATATCCAGGCTTCTAATACTTTTCATCGTTTGGCTGATTATTCCTTGTTTTATTACATCGCTCTCTGTGAATACATATATGGACTTTCTGCCTTTCAGGACCTAATATCTTAATGAGTGCATTCTCGTGTCTCAGAGTAAAATCAGTTTTGTGAATGATATATACATATTTGAGGAGGGAGTGTATTCCTTTTTCTGGCTCTCTCTTCCCTCCAGATAGCAAATAAGAGCGAACTTATTATTCAAAGGTATTAATGATCCTTGCTTCAGTATTTTCAACTGCTCCATTCCTAATGGCCCCTTCATCTTTTTTAAGCATGCATGGGTCTCTCTTTCCACAAACACGTAAATTAATAAATAGCTAGAGTGCTCTCCTGACATCGGCAGTGGCCTCTAACCGAGATCAGGACCCCTGTCTTTCCTGAGAGAAGACCGTCAACACCTGTACATTCATCTTCATTTTTCACTCTTCATTCCAATAAATCAGCATCCTGGCGGCCCTCAGGACATCCTCTGGGAACTGCCACCCATTTAATATTGATGTCCCTAATGGATGGCTTTGTTCTTCTGTGTCCTGGCGGTGACTGCAGCGTTGGGCACCAAAGAATAGTGTTCCTGGGCCCTCCCCCATAGCTCTGTTGTTCTCAGTTTCCTCTGCAAGAATTTCTTCTGTGCATCTCTGAAGCGTGGGTATTCCCAGGACTGTTATTCATAGCAGCTGTCCCTTCCCTCCCCCCTTGCTTCTCAGGGATGACATCAGCCATTTTGTACCTCTGTACGGAATACAGTGTCGTATTTCCTTATCTGGTGGGAAGGAACCTCAACTCTGGGCCAGATGATACTGCCCGCAGGCAGCCCACCTGCTCCCAGGGGGGCCTGTGGGCTTTCCATGACCCAGCGACTAAAGGGACAGCACCGGGTGGGGCAGCGTCACTGGGACTGGGGGGAGCACCTCTGTCCTGGCTGCCCAGGGCTGGGGGCGTACCTGCATCCTCTCCCATGGCTGTGACTAACACCTGTACGCTGACAGTACCCAGCTCTGCATTCTGGTGGGTTAGACTCTCTCAGGAGTTCTGGTTAGGGTCAGTGTGGCCATCACGTAAGGAACACCTCCTATGTGAGGCTCTGCGACATGATGGGCATTCAGAAGGAGGTGCCACCCTCGCCCATTCATTCGTTTGTTTGTCCGTTCATTCACTCAACGATACTGAGAACCCGCTATGCGCAAAGGGCTGTGTTGTGCGCTCAATACAGCCGCACAGAGCAAACGTGACTTCTGATGGCCTGAAGCTTCCATTCAGTTGACGTAGAGAGAGGTGATTAGTTATTTTTGATAAAGTGAAGGAAGAATACAGGGTACTATGAGGTCAGATAAAAGGAGAATCAAGACACGTTGAGGGAGATGTCTGTGTCTTAGATGGCTTCCCTGCAGAAATGACATGGGTTTTTTTCCTTTTTAATGTTTACTTATATTTGAGACAGAGAAAGAGAGGGAGACACAGAATCTGAAGCAGGTTCCAGGCTCCGAGCTGCTAGCACAGAGCCTGATGTGAGGCTCGAACCCATGAACTGCGATATCATGACCTGAGCCGGAGTCAGACACTTAACCAATTGAACCCCCCAGGCTCCCCCAGAAATGACATGTTCAAGTCACGGGGTAAAGGACATACATGTATTCCCTTTATTTAACAAGTTCTTATCTGTGTGACATGCTTGCTCTGAAATCTTGCAGATACTAACTTAATCTTCATGGTAAACCTGTGAGGGGGTAAACCTGTGAGGGGGTAAACCTGTGAGGATCTCCTACCTACAGTGGGGAAACTGGGGATCCTCGCACCCCAGCAACTTGGCTTGATTCACAGAACTGTACGTACATGCCCCAAGCCTATCGTGTCCTGCTTTACACTATCTACTCAACCTCGGGTCTGGAGACCTCACCGGCTCAGTTCCGCTCGAAGTCATTTCTCTCTGGAAGCCTCCAAAGCTCTGAATTTGTTTTAGCTGCCCTGTCCTCAGTGTTACTGTCACTCAGGAAAGGGGGGATGGGCTGGGTGCCCGCAGAGCTGCCGCTTGACCCCCAGCCTTGGGATGGTTCCCCTCATCAGGCTTCAGATCCGCACTTTGGCTTCCGGTGGATTGGAGGCTGGCCTCTAATAGTCCCCAACAGCCTGTGTGGCTTGGCACTCCATCCTTGGCCCCAGATATGGGCAGGGTGCTCTGCTCTGGACCTGGAGCCCTACCATTGACTCCATGGGTTCCCCCAAGGCCCTCTTCCCTCTC